GATCTCACTCGAACTTTGTGTTGCGTCAACCCCTTCTCTCCTTTGGGGCGGCCACCCTAACATTTTGAGCATCAAAAAATACATAACACCAAAAATAACCTTTATTATGCTTTGCCTATTTTATGTTCAAACATTTTATCACACAAACAAGTAAATCAATTAATGATTTTTATCTAAACAATAATAATTTAATCAAAATGTAAATATTAAAAGTTATATATTTTTAAAAAATTAGGGATCAAATTTTTTATTTAGTTAAATATTAAAAGGATTATTTTTTATGTTAAATCTTTAAAAAATAAAACATAACCGACTACCAACTAATCTATATATGATAAGGGACTATAACAGGTTGGATTGGATTAAGTTTTTGTAAACCTGATCTGAGAAGCATATTTTCTCCATATGAACTCAATTTGACCCAAGCTTAAGGAGGTCACATTCGACCCGAAATTTGAATCTTGAGGTAAGAAACTACATCAGATTGTATTAATTATATTAAATCTTAAATCAAACTCAATCTGACTTGACCTCACCCTTTACAAAACTCAACTCTTACAAAATTAAAAAAAAGTTGATACTATCATGTTGAGTTGTGTCGAGACCGTTGGATTTAGATCATGTTATCATCCCTAATTCTGAATAAAATAAAATAAATTAGGTGAGCCGTTCATGTAATTGATCTCAAAAGTATTTGATTTAAATTAATCTATTATTAGATTAGATATAATTAATTGATAAAAATGATTTAAAATATAGAGTTAATTACAGTTCCCATAATGGGATTAAGATCGGATTCGTATGTTTCAACCTAGTGCTACAATTAAGAAACAAGAAGAACAAGCGTGTAATCTAAGTATGTATGGTAGATTCATGGCCATTGTTGTAGTAATAATATATAAACTTTGTAGCCAAGCAAAGCACGCCCGGCCAAGCCACACCATGCACAAATAAACATGAGGAAAGTGGGGAGTGAAAATAAATAAAAAATAAGGTCTCGATTATGACTTTAATTATTTTATTATGCTGAAATTTTAAAAATAAAATTGATACAATTTTTTCAGTTTTTAATATAATTATTAGTTATTATTATAATACAATAACGTGAATTTCAATTAATTACATCGGATTAACTATTTAAAAATCGCATTTTCATTTTTACCACAGTAACTAATACCGTTATCAGTTTAATTTCACTAATAAAATTATAAATATAGAGGTAAAATTATGTAAAAATTAAAGTTAAAAAATTAAATTTCAATTTCCAGCATAGTAGAAGGAATACCATCACAATTAGACCTAAATAAACGATAACGGAAGACCTAAGCCTGGGCCGACAATGCATTGGTGGGCCTACTTGAAGGCGCAGGAATACAGGATTCGACCCGCTCCTAGCCCATTTCCTAAATGATTGGCTTGTTATAATTATCTAATTTCAAATGGTCAAGGTTTAATTCATCTAATTTTATAATTAATAATAATTTAAAATTAAATTATTTAAATTAAATATTAATTTTTCCATTTAAAAATTTTAAAATATTTAAACTGAAAAAAATAAGAGGGATAATGACTTAATTTTTTTTAATTTTAAAACTAAGAGGAACTTAAAAAAAAAATTGGACCAAAAATAGTTTGAAGATGCCTCTCCTACTACCTTTATAATGATTTTATCCTCATATTCCTTTTACTACTAACTAAGCTGGTTGAGACCTTCAGCCATATCGGTTATGGGATCTTTTCTTGTATTGTTGCCAAAATAATTTGTACGTTTCTTTTTGATCTGATTAATGAAACTTTTGGTTTGATTAAGAAAATAATAATAATAATAATAATAATAATAATAATAATAATAATAATAATAATAACCGCTACCATATAACTCCTAGGTACTTCATACAAACTTTTATTTAATTTTTTATTCATTTTGGTACCATCACACGCAGTGGAAGGAGGATTACTACATACATAGGATATGAAGCGTGTTATTTTTACTTGGGAAGCACAACCATATCATGCGGCGGCAAAAGGTGGCAAACTTCCGACTACCCTGTCTTAAACCCCAGTTTACTGTATGAATCATGATGGGCGTCCGATGAAGAGGTATGCAAGTGACAAACGAAAACTGCAGTCACCTTATCGCCGTCGCCGCTGTTGAGGGAAACCCTGAACAATTTGTTCGTGCCGCCAAGCTCGAAATGGCAATAGTACATCGGATAAGGATACGGCTGGAAATGACACGGTACCATCTTCCCGCTCGCTATCACTTGGGATCCCACCACAGTATAGTTCTGGAGTTGGCGGTTTGACTTGGGAACCGGAGGCGACATCAGGATTCTGGTTTGGCCCGCGGAGTACTCCGGTCCGAAGGCGGCGGTTGCGAAATCGAGCAGGGATTCTAGAGAGGTGGCGCAGACGTTGACCTCTCCTTTTGGAGGTTCACCCTGGCAGAACTCGAGTGCTCGTTTGAAGGCGTCGAGTAGGGGAGAATCGGGGTCCAAGGCGTAGTACCGCTGAAGCTGGGAAAGCGCCTTGGATGATAACGGAATGCTACGGGTTCGCTCTTCAGGGAAGAACCCGAAAGATTGACGTTCTACGTAAGGAATATAGAAAGTCCTCTTGTTTCCGATTTCGAAATCCTTCATGACGGCGAACGCCTTCTTCAAATCTCTTAGCTCCTTTTCAAATGCGTCGGGGATTTGATGCTTATCGTCTTCTGTTTGCTTCATGCTGGGGAGTCGAAGAACATCATCGACATGATCATGGCAGCTTACTCCAGGAGCAAGCTTTCAAAATTAACAATCTCGTTACATATAATAATTACTAAAAAAGAGTATAAATTTAATGAAACACAGCTTAAATTTAAAGACTTGAATATTCTTTTCATTCATCCGTGATGTTAATTAATTATTATATATATATATATATATATATATATATAAATTACGATTTTGCCAGAGATTATTTGAAGAATGATTTACCGTTACAAAAACGAGGAGGAGGAGGAAGCTGCAATAAACAGCTTCATTGCCCATTCTTTCTTCTTTCTTCAACTTTGTCCACCCTTCACTTCTGTTTTCTCAGAAGGACAAAGAGTGCTTCTTTATAATGATAAAAAAACATTTTTTTAATTCAATAATTGTAATGATATATCGATTATAGTAGTTGAAGTTTTTTTTATAAACTGTCACTTCAAAATATTTAACAAACCCTGTTGAATATCTCGTGTTATTTGGCTACTAATAGATACACAAAATATTGTATATAATTATAAGTGACGTCGTGAGAAAATCTAAAATATAATGTTAATTTTTTTTGAAATAATAATGTTAAAATTTACATTTACTACATATCATTTTTTAAAAGTTATATTTATATATTTTTATTTTAAATTTATAAAAGTAATTTTTAAAAAAATGGAAAAGTAAGACTTTACAATTATGTATCTCGGCCGTTATCTAGGGATGAAGATGTCACTTTGACATATTGACGATGACAATTGTATAAATTGAAAATTGATGTTAAAGTTAAAGTTAGATTTAACATGTGTGTATAATTTATAAACTATGATCGACGTCTCAATTGCTTTATGTTTATATTGAAATTACATAGTAATTTTATGAAATATATATTATTGAATTTTGTAAATATTAGCTTTTGGTATTGGTTTTGTATCCCAATTGTTTTTCTTTAAATAAAAATTATATAACATAAAAATAATATATTTTATTTAATTGTCAACTCAGACTTCCGTTAATAGCTTAACAAGAGTTAACGGATGAGAGACTAAAACAGAACGGATCAATAACATAAAAGATCAAAACTATAATTTTTTAAACCAATAATCAAAATCAGACGGACTGAAAATATAATGGACTATCTGTATAGTTTACCCTTTTTAAGATTGTAACAAAACGTCATATGTATATAAACTAGGGAAAATAATTATATATAATTTTTGTTATTAATATAGTTCGTAAATATATTTTCCAATCTTTGAAATTGTATTTTGATAATTTTTTATTGAGTTGATATTTGATTGACTCATTATATCAATTTAATTAAATATTTTAATAGTATGATTATAAAATAAGTGTTAAAATAACTTATTAAGTGATCTCAGTGATTAAAGGGACTGTTGTTCTTCCTGAAGGTCCTGAGCTCAATCAGTTATGTCTGCTAGGTGTTTGTGTTATCAATGATTAAAAAAATTATGAATAAATACTACCTTATAACCACCATATACTATTAAAAAATTGTTCAAATTATATCTATTATTAACTTTAAGAATTGTTTAATAGATGATAAAAAGTTTTTAACAAACTATCTAAAAATGATTATCGAATGAAATGTTAGACATATAATATAATAAAAAACCAAAGACATAAAATAAATAAGAAATAAAATATGAACAATTATTTTATAAATCTATTTTAAATAACTAGAGTTACGTCCATTCTTTAATAAAACACTTTTTTAAAAATATATATAGTAACTTATTATACAATTTCAAAAAGATTTTGTGACGTAGACCTAAGATTTTGTAATGGAGACCTAAGATTTTATTATATAATATCTTATCCTATGTAAGTTATTGTTTCTCTTAATATCTTCTAATATTGGGTTAGAAGAATTTTTAACATGTTATTAAAAATTTTATTTTATTTTTCAAAATATATAAATATAAAGATTATATTTTTAATATTTAAAATTTAATATTTCTTGGTACATGAAAGTTTATGTTAAAGGGTGTAGCTCCTTCAGTCAACATTTAGGACAAACTCAAGACTCAATTGAAATTTACATAGGAATTTACAGATTATTCACTAAGAGTGACAGTAGTAGGATTCAAACCTGACCTTACAAAGCTCAAATTCCTAAATTTCAATAATTTGTGTCAACACTCGTTGGCATAATATTTATATATACATATATAGTTTGGTACAAAAAAGTTTAGGTCAGGAGTGGCTCTCCCAGTCCAGGGCCAAGGTATACCTAAGACCGATTGAAATTTACATAGGACTTTATAGATTACCCACTAAGAGTGACAGTAGTAGAATTTAAACTTGACCTTACAAGCACAAATTACTAAATCTATATATTAAAAGTTTAAATTTTCAATTAAAACGTTTATACAAATATTCTAATTTATAATGATTCAATACATCATTCTTATTATTTAAATGTTGACTACTTCAACGTTAATGTTATTTATTTATTTTTAATTAAAATGCGTTTGCTTGCTATTCTATATTTTGTTATTTAATATTTGGTTTGGTAAACGTATAAAAAACGGGTTACGTGACAATTATTGAGCAATAATTTTCTGTTCACTATTAATCGGGCTAAAATATGTTTATAGTCCTTGTTTCCTTTATACGTTTGGAATTTAACCCTCTTATTTTTAATCCCTCTATTTTTTATTTAAAAAACCTTGTCCAATTATTAATTGTCAAAATTTAATCTATTAACTTTACTGATGTAATATTTGAAATTTAAAAAAAATTGAAAGTTAAACAACAAAAGTAAAAAGATTATTTTAGTTTTTTTTTTAAATGAATCGAATTTGAATGAACATGTTTCTATTTATGTTTGTTTATTTTTAAGCATACTTGTGTATGATTCATATTCATTAAAAATTTTAAATTGATATTTGTATTCGTTTATTTAAAATTATATGTGATTATTCATTTAATGTTCTCAAACACGTTTAGTTAGTATTTATAAACATGTTCACTTAATAAATTCATGAACATTAAACGGGCATGTACACAACTAATTGAAAATTTACTTATAAATTGCTAACAAACAAACTGTAAGTGAATATATATATTTTAGGTATAAAACAATCAAACATATATATTAATGATTATTTTGTAAATAAATAAAATAAACATAAATTGAATTTGTTAGATGTATTACTATTTTTCAGTTGAGTTTTTAAATTGATTATATGAGTTTGAAATTTACATCTAAATTATATGAAGTTTAGATTATTTTAAATTAGAGTTATTTGGAATATGATTGTTTGCACCATGCCATAACTTGCCTTACCCTCAACCTAATAATTTTCAACCATTCCATGCCTTTAACTTGCTCCATAATCAACCTAATTATACACACACAATATGCCATCGTCACAGCCTTTCCCCGACAATGCCGCTATTCTTCTCTTGTCCTTCAATTTTCCCCAAAGAATCTCGACCCCCCAAGTCTCTTAAAAGAGCAGATTTCGCCTTCAATTTATTCAATTATCCAACCATGGACCCCGTTTCTAGTTCATCATCATCATCATCGTCAACAACCCTACGTCCAAACAGGTCACATCCTCGGTTCAAACCGACCCATCCTGTTGTCGAACGGATATCCCGAGCTCTTCGTCACCCGCTCTTCCTCCTCCATAGATCTTATTCTGACTTCTTCGTCTTAGGTGCCACGGGAAATGTTTATACAGTGACATTATGTTCAAATCCTTCATGCACATGCCCCGACCGTACGACCCCGTGTAAACACATCTTATTTGTTCTGATCCGAGCGTTGGGTGTATCAGTCGATGACACATGTCTTCGGAGACGGGCTCTTAGGCCATGTCGGTTGAGCCACCTTCTCGGGACTCCCACGTCACCAGCAGCATTGGCGGGGGATAGCTTACGTGAGAGGTTTCACCAGCTTTTCTCCGAGAGAAAGAAGCATGGCGGGTCAGGGGATGTTAAGGAGATCGAAGAAGGGACGGCGTGTCCCGTTTGCTTGGAGGAAATGGAGAAAGGAGACAAAGTGACGGCTTGTTCCACATGTCAAAACCTGATTCACGAAGAATGCTTGATGAGATGGAAGAGGAGCCGTGGGAGGAGGTCGGCTAATTGTGTGATTTGTCGTGCAAGGTGGAGTAGTGATCAAGAGAAGTATCTGAATTTAGCTGCTTATATTGTCCGGGAAGAGGCTGAGGGCGGCAGCGGCAGCGGCAGTGGTGGTACCAACCTATGTGCTGGATAATTTGTTTTACGTTTTAGCTTTGGGTTAGAAAGAATGTTAACTATGAATTGTATGCTTTTAACTATTAATTGTGTATATGCAATATTCTTAGAAATTCTTAATGGATAATTCATATGATATTAAAGCAGTGTGTTAATTATTTGGAAATAAAATAAAAATTAATTTACATATTTTATATTAAATGCTTAGTCGAGTTCAAATTGATCTTGTATACTAATATTATTATTAGTTATATTTGTTCAGCTTAATCTAGCTTGAAATATGAGTTTATTTATTTATTTTAATTTTTGGAATTTTGGACGAATAATCCAGGCTTTAAATAGGTATAGTCCAAAGGTTTACACGAAATTTGGGAAGGTTTAGATAAAAATATTAAACCTAAAAAAACCACGTTTAAACAAAGAGATTAAACCCATAAAATATAGTTGGGCTCAGATTCCTACATGTAGAACTCGTGTCCAGCCCCTTTTTTTATATTTATAATAGTAAAATAATATTTATTTTATTTTTATATATTATATAATTTATATCACATAAAAGGTAAATCTAATGTATAACCCTTAAAGCATATGTATAAAAATTATTAAATATTAAATTAAAACAACATAAATATAATTTTTAAAAATATTTTTGAGATTTTTAAATTGAACTTAAACTAATTGTTTATAAATATAAAAAATTTATATCATACTAAAAATTGTTTTGTATTACAAAAGAATGCTAATTATAGTAATAAATAGTTTAGTATCGTTTAAGTATATTTCGATATTGAGATTTTGTATATGAAAAAAAATCTTTATTAAAAAGTTTACTATTAAAATTAAATTTATTATATGGATCAATTTGAATTAGTTAGAACAAAATTTTAGATAATAAAAAGAAAAAATATATCTATTATTATACCAATTGCATTAATAATCCGTACAAATGAAACTTACTCTTCGGTAAGTTTTGTTTTGCCGCGTAAGTACACACAAGTCAAATTTAATCCTTTCCTCAACAATGCAACATTTGCATACTCCATCCCAAAACCCTAACGCTCCGAGACTAGCAGACTCACTCACTGATTTACTGGCGAAAAGAAATGTGTGTCGTCTCGTCTGATTCTGGCAGAGGTGCTTTAGTTCCGATTTCTCCAGATTCCCTAAGTTCGGCGGTGTATCCCCTCCGCCATTGCCTCAAGTCTCCAATTTCTATGCAGAGGTGCTTCAGTTCCGATTTCTACAGATTCCCAGGGTTCGGCGGTGTATGCCCTCCGTCTCATGGTCACGCGGCCACTACCTTCGGGTCTCGGTTTTCGCCGCTCCTTCCTCCATTGAAGACGAAGCAGGAGGAAAAATAGTGGAAGTGAAGCTCGGCGGCGGAGACGGCGAAGTCAGTGATGTTCATTGGTCGAGGGTCGCCTACGGTTCGGTCTCTCCTTTTGCTCTACTCCAAAGCAGAAAAAACGCCGTCTCTAGCTTGTCGAAAATATCCATGAATTCCTCACCTTACGATGCTGACTGGTAATTAGTTTTCAATTTTTCATTTTTATTAAAATATATTTGGAGTTTATTTTCTTTTGTTCTGAAAAATATTGAATTTGTTCTTTTCTTCTTTTATTTTGTACCGGACATTTTGGCTCTGTTTGGTATGAAGAATTGTTAATCTAATGGTACTTTCGTTTAATTTCAAGTTGCCCTTTTTTCCCCTCAAAAAGGAGAGGAGCCAACTAGTTTAAAGGCTGCGTGGGAGCTATTGGAAATGTTTTATGCTGAAAAGCCATCTCATTCATGGTTACCTGAACGCCTTGTTGATCGGTTAGCTATAAATCCCTTACCTTTTTTTAACTATATCCATAAGTGTTACATTGTGTTGGTTTTAAAGATTGTTGTTTACTAATAACCAATTTGTGTCTTGGCAGGACTACGACAGCCTTTTCACAGGAACATACCCAACAATGCACACAAAGCTTGTTGATTTTCAAAAAGAACTTGTAAACTTGCAGGTCCTGAAATAATTAACCTTCTATTTTCCTTATTAAGTTAACTTCTTTGTATGGTACTAACACAGTTCTAAGAGTTTATGCTTGTGGGTTGTTTGACTGATTTGTAATCTTCTGTATTCGTCTAAGATGGTGCTATTTAATCAGTTTATTGAATGTAGGTTGTGGAGAATAATCCCAAATACTGGGAAGTTATGTCATCAGCACTTGCTATGTGTTGCCCAGATATCGCGGTATGTGTCTTAACAGACTAATGTGGTTTTATAGCTTAATAAAATTATGAAAGCATGTTAGGTTCTTTTTTTAGTGGAATTTTATGATTGGATGCAGTTTTATATTTTCACATGCAGGTTAAAATGTTGCGCTTGCATGGATCATATCAATTAGATCAACTCAGTAATCGATAGGTTGGTAAGAGATAGATTATCATGCGTTGCATCCAAAAGATGTAGCTCTATTTACCTTTAGTTTCATTGAAACATTTTAATAGTTAAGAAGTTCGTGCAAGTCTTTGTTCAGTTATTTGACCAAAATGTGTTTTAACTCGGAAACGATTGCTGTTATTATGCTAGTTCTGTTTTTGGTTGTTTCAACCAAGTAGTTCTCTTTATCCTTTTGGGTAAAATATAAGTGATGCATTCTTCTCTGTTTTTACGTTCTCCAACATGTGTTGCTCCGATGCATGCAACTTCATGATTTCTTCACTCAATCAAACAAATAAATATTGTTTGATAGGGTTCATTAGAGCTTAATAATTAATCCCATTTGTAGAATTATATCTATAATTTGAATGTTGAGTCACATCGTTGGTGAAAGCTTAACAACTTTTAAGGGTAAATTAAATATCATTTACCTTTAGGTTATATATCATTTTTATTATTGAATTTTCAATTGTTTATTTATTTAATATTAATTTTTTTTTGGATTCAATATAAGCATGGAGCCTTAAATTATTAACAATCGAATAATATGATAATTTGATGTTGATGTAAAATTTTAGTTTGTGTATTTGTTTTATCGTTAAATTTTTAAACGCTTAAATTTTAATCACTAAATTCTAGTTTGTCTCAATTTACTCATTGTCATATAGTTGTCACTGCTATTAGTAAATCACTGCTCGACAATGATCATCATTTACGACAACGTTGATATAAAATCATTCACATAGGGATGGCAAACAGACGGGTCGGGTATAGATACCCCCTCCTCTATCCCTATACATACATAATATTTTTAAATCTACCACCTGCCCATCACCCATGATAGGTAAAAATTTTCAAATATATACCCGCCTACGCGGGTACATTCTCAAATTTAAGTTAAGTGTTAACATAGATCTTAAAGTATATAAAACATCATAATAAAAGACATAATTAAAGCTTAGAAACATAAATGATAAAAACATAATATTTTGTTCTTTGGCATAACATTCTCAAATTTCAGGCAATACTTGTGACATATGTTACTCTACTGTCTAAGTTCGACGAAAACTGGTATGATTCTTATGTGGATTTACTAACTTATATTAGTTTTGCCTTCTATTATATATGTAGGTAAGGCGAAAATCGAGCGAGTGGGCGGATGCGGGGCGGGTAAGGTCTCAAACCCCCACTACCCGCGATAGATACCACTTTCTAAATCTACACCCGCCTACTACCTACTAAAGTTGTACTCATCCCTGCCCCAATTGGCGTGGGTACGGTGCAGAATCCACTAAATTATACCCGTTTGTCATCCTACATTCACATTTTACTATATCTCTTCTTATTGGATTGGTTTTAAAAAAAATCCATATAAAATTAAAAAAAATACATTTGAGGTTCAATGTTCTCATACTCTCATTTGATGGTTTATAAAATTTTATCAGATTTAAGGGTTTTGTGGCATTTATTCAAAAATTCAAATGGTGATATAAATTCTTTCAAGTACACAAAAACTACGCATCGAAATTAATTTCATTGAACGACCATAAAAGGAGATCAAAACATTAAAATGTTGATCACTTTGGTATGAATTTTATCGTGATTGGCCACCAATGATAGGTAATGATTGCCGGCAACGATAATGATTTGATCGAAAATAATGAAATTGATACACGTATTAAAATTTAATGACAAAATTGATAAACAAATTAATTTTTTATAGAAATAAAAGAAAAGAAAATCACATTATCACGTCGTTAACTATTTAACAGCTTAAAGTTCACCTTGAATATTAAATTAAATAATTAAAAAATTTATGATAAAAACCTAAATTTTAATGATAAAAATTTGATTATTGTTCGTACATGGTTATTTTTGTTTTGATGGAGAAGGGGACACATTAACGTCATAAAAGATCTGATGAAGATGTGATTGATAAGATCGGACGGCTAATAGTCCAAATGTTGGATTTAGTGATGAATATCTAGTTGGGCCCTTTCCTTCGAGGTTTGATAGAAGTCAAATTTGCCTTTGAGGGCCCAATTGACAACTTCTCGAAACCTTCGATACCGACAAAATCATTTAAAGGTTGTCTTTCCTTTCATTGTGATATAAATATATATTATTTAAAATCATGGACATGTCGCTAAGCCCAATTAATGGGAGACCCACCAACTTGTCCTATGGACACCTATTGTAATGTAAGTTACATTAGTGGTTCCTACTTTTTTGGAGTGTTTTCACTTTGGTCATTAATTTTTTTAAAATTTATACTAAAATCATTGAATTTTGATATCACTTTTATCATAGTCACGACTTCTCTGAATTTTTAGGATATATACATTTTAGTTAATGAACTTTTAAAACTTGTAGTGAAATCGTCAAAATTTTCTTATCATTTTGGTTGCATTAGTGGTTTATTAAAGAAAGCAAATGAAATACGCCGTGAGGTCTTCATAACTTATGCGAAGACTTTGGATATTTTTACATCAGAAGAAGCTTTTGTATAGGCTAGTTATTTAATTATTATTACTGTCATAATATTATTTATTTACTAAGGTGGCCTATCCTACACGTCCTAATTTTCACTACTATTTATAAGTATAAAAGACTTATTTTAATATTTTAAAGTAATTATAAATTAAATAAAAATTCAATTTGAATAATCCCTAATTTTGAATTGATAAACTATAACTCGTCTAAACATTATAATTCATATCGATTTTTTTTTTGTTACTAAGTCCA